GGCATTACTAGCTCATCTAATATCATGCTGGACTACAGTGTTTATGACACTAGTTCGAATCCCCCAGTGATTTGTCTTCAGCATTAGGTTGTTTGAGGAAGTTTTATAGGTGCTATTATTAATTTGAATAGGCCCTAACCTCGAGGAACCCGCCCCGTAAGTGGTTTTGTAGTGTTTTTAGAGGCATTAAACCTATACTGCACCATACTGTCGGAAACGATATGACACACATGTACAGAAATAGAGCGACAGAGGTGGAGGAATTCAAGAAGAGAAGCACACGAATACGAAGGCGTCATATAAAGTAAAAAAACCCATTATAATAATGCTTGAATATTGTGATTATCATTGTCGTCGTTGTTGTTGTCGTTGTTGCAGTTGTTGCTGCTTTTGGTTTTGTTGTTAATGTTGTTATTGTCACTTCTGCTGTTGTTGTTGTTGTGGTTGTGGTAGTTGCCGTTGTTGCTGGTTGTTGCTGTTGTTGTCGTCGTTGTTGTTTTATTGTCGTTATTGTTGTTTTATTGCTGTTGTTGTTGTTGTGCTTGTCGTGCAAGAGTTTCAGAGGTGCACTCTATTGTAATAATATTTCCATTCGCTGATTCACCAGAGAGTAGTAGAACATTGATATTAAAGAAAGATCCAGAACGATATTGGTTCGGTCCAGAAGCGAGATAACGGAAGTATAATAAAAGCAGATACAGCAGAGATGCTAGAAAGGAGAGAAAAAAAAACAGCTGTAAAAATGTCTAGAAACGTCAGAGCAAAAAATGGGTACTCACTAGTCAGACGCGAATGGTCTGTGAAATGTGTTGAAATGAATGTGTTGTAAAATGCCACAGCGAAAACATCGAGAACTGTTTTCTGCGCGTTAGAATTCTAAGCAACAGCCCTCGGCTATCATACAAAAGACCTCAAGCAGTGATATTACATAAAATTGCTAAAGGACGGACAGGCAGCGTTCTCATCACTAAGCTGTGACTGTTGGAAAAGACAAAAGTACCGGAAACACGTGAGTGGTAGGCAATGAAGGAGTCTGAAGTGAAACGGAAGTGCATACTATCTAGAACTGAATCAGTACAGTCACGTTTTGCTTTAATTGAGTATAACATTTTATAGGTTTATTTTTCATCCTCCAATCCACATTGATGTGAATGGCTGAGATTAAAAACCCATACAATCAAAAACAGAACCAAAAAAAAAAAGGAAAATCTATCCCATCGTTACGCATATATGATAAGTCATAAGCATTAGCAACAACAGATCAGTTTTTCAAGCAAAATTAAATGCACCATGTTTCTCGGGGCTCATATTGTTTACTTTGTTCCAGAGGGGGAAGTGACATCATTAAATCTTCCCCATAGGTTGGAGTAATATTGCTGTTAATTACTACAAAGGAACTAAAAAAAAAAAAAAAGAAAGAAAAGGAAAGCTGTGGGATAACTTTTTTTTCGTGTTTATAAGCTATTATCAAACATCTCTCTTTCAAAAAAATGTTACCTATTAAAGGTTACTTTTATGAAGACTAGCACCTTGCTTTTTGCATATATATTTAACCAAAGACTGTGATTTGCACTTCCGTTTCACTTTAAGCAGAGCGCAGTGTTGTGAAAAGGTGGAAGGGGGGGGGGGCAGCAACATAACAGTAATAATATGTGTTACGACTGCAGAACAGGGCAAATATTGCTACTACTGTAAGCATTCTAGCATTGCAACAAATTATAGCAGCGCAGCAGCGTGGGGGAAAGCAACCCGCAGCAATTCATCACCAAAATGTTGGGCACGTAGATGGTTTACAGCAAAGACAGGAGTGTTAGGGTCACAATAAACGAAAACAAACTACAATAAGGTGAACGAGCTTTTTTTCCGAATAAAACTACAACAAAAAATCGTGTAAATACTACGGCTGGCACTGGCAGTAAGGTCTCACTACCCTAGTGATGGGCAATGAAAATCACACCAAAAAATACTCTAAAGCATGAATGATTATTGCTGCCTACAATTCAAATATTTGAATATCAGGGGACACGCAATTAAACAATCACATGGAATAACAAACATACGTGTAAATTAACGTCAAAGGGAAAACTAAAAAACCCCCCAAAAACATTGGTTGGCGATAATTTGAAAAACAAATTAATTACAAACTCATTCGACTGTAAATGCATAAGTCATTAAAAAGGTAATGTAAATGTGCCATGCGAATGCTCAGCAATATGTCCCATACGGTAGAACACTTGGTCCTAATAGTGATTGTAGTATAATAATAATAATAACAATATTATGTAAGTATGCTCTGTACGCGTGCCATGGCAATACGATTTTTTTTCAAAATGCTATTATGTCTGAGTGAGTAATAATAACAACAACAGATTTTAAAGGGCATAGGGCTAGTTGTTGAGCAGGAATTGGAGCTATATATTACTTACCATTATGTTACTATTAAGTTTGCCTAGGATCTTCGAATAGCAAGGCCTTAATTAAACATTTTTCTACTAACTTTGAAGAGGGGCCAAAAATAAACCCATTCCCTTCATAAATCAGACTGTAAGTGCCCTTTGTTAAATTATACTGTAATTTTTTTTGTATCTGGATACTATCTGGAGCAAAATTTCCAATCGCCGTTCATATTTTTCAAAATTGTCAATTTATCTGCTCATCTCATATTGCTCTTATGGTGTACTTTTTAGAAGGGAATAATAATTCCAAAGGATGTACGGAAGAACAGAAGAGACTGTGAGGAAAGGTGTTATCTGGAAAGACCTACTTACTTTATACAAAGAAAGCTGTGGATTCCTCCAACCTCCCCCCACCTCCTTCCTCCTATCCGTCCCCGTCAGTTACGAAACAGAATTATACACCTTATAGATGGTGAAATGGTATAGATTTTACTCCCATATCAACGTATAAACCTGAATATGTTAAGACTGGTCAACTACCTTGAACCGTTATCTATGACCTAGAGTTGTTGCGATTGTTTACAACAGACAGTAATCACGTGACACAATCATGTTCTAAAAATATAATTTAAAAATCCAAAACAAAAACCAGACCAATGGGGCAATCAAAATAAGTAATTCCAGAAAAATAAACAACAACAAAAACGAAACAAAAATGAAACAAAAACATAACGTTACACTGGAATAAAACTTACTCTCGTGCGGACCTTCAGTGAGTTATTTTAATAAATGACTTAATACTTTCATTCTCGCTCAAATTGTGTATACTTTGAAAGAAGGAGAAAAATGCTCTTTCACGGTGAAAAGATTAGGGAGAGAGATTCTCCTTGGAATTGTAATGACGCAAACCTCTATCCAGCTACTTCTCGCCTGCCTCTGTCCCCTTCTCTTTGACACATTATTTCTCCCTGTTCTCCTCCCACCCTCTCTCTTTCTCTCTCCATCCCCCATTATCTCTCTTCTCTTTCTTTCTCTTCCCCCCGTTTCACAATTCATTGTCTCTTTTCTCTCTCCTTCTCTCCTCTCTTTTCAGTATTGCGACTCCTCTCCCCTCTTTCTTCCCCCCCCCC